ATATATTTTTTTTCAGTGAGTTATAAGATGTACATTAGAATGAACAGTTGAGAATCACTTCTCAGCCTTTGACTAAAATCAAGTGTAGAATGAACAGAAATCCATTAGCAAAATGGAAAATATGTACAAGGACTAAATACAAATTCCAGAACTGGAAAAATAAAATACAATAAACAAGAAATTTACTGGGAGGATCTAATAGTACATTGCGGATTACAAGAAAAAAAATGATCAATCACCTTGAAGACAAATTAATAGATATTTTCCAAGAACAGGAAGGAAAAAAAAAAAAAAAAAAAAAAAACAGGGGCTGGGGATTTAGCTCAGCGGCATAAGCGCCTGCCTTGCAAGCAGGCAGTCGTGAGTTCGATCCCCAGTACCGATAAAAAAGGAAAAAGACAAAAAAAAAAAAAAAAAGAACAGGAAGGAAAGAGAGTGAGAGAGAGAGAGAGAGAGAGAGAGAGATAAAAAGAACAAAGGCATAGTGCCTAGAATAAAACATTCAAGAGGAGAAGACAAGATATGGCAGAAAATTATTTCAAGAGATAAGAGATGTAAAAAAAAAGAGGTAAGAGATGTAATTAACCCAATTTGGTAAAGTAAAATTCAGCTCATAAATTCAAGAAGCTCAGGGAACCATAAGCAACATAACACAGAACCTGCTGACAAAAGTCCAAAGGAAAAAGTGTCAACCCATTGCATATCAGTGAAAATATTCCTCCAAACAGAGGGATTTAAAAGCACATTTTCAGATATACAAAATCTGAGGGAAATTCCTGCAAGCAGAACTCACTATAATTATAAGAATTGCTAAAGAAGGCCAGGTGCAGTGTTGTACATCTATGAGCCACTTGGGAGGCCGAGGCAGGAGGTTTGCTTGAGCCCAGCTCAAGGCTACAGTGTGCCACGTGGATTGGGTGTCCACATTCAATATGGCAGCACTGATGTGGGGACCACCAAGTTGTGTGGATTGATCATGGGATTTTGCAGGTGAGTAGCCCCATACTCTCTCTCTCTTATGAGAAAAATAAAAGCCCAGTGTCTTAGTTACTTTTCTCATTTCTGGGACAAAATATAAAACACCTGAAGTTAGGGAAGATTTGTTTAACTTAGAGTTTGTAGAGGTTTCAGTTCATAATCAGCTGACTTCAAGGCAGGGTGGCGGGGCAGACGGGGTTCACAGAGGAGAAATAGTTTACAGTAGACAGCAGTAAAACAACAAAGGACTCTTTCTATCCCTTATTATTTTAGCCAGGCTACTCAAGGTGGGCCTTCACACCCTTAATCCTAGTGCCTTGGCTCCTAACATTGCACCATGAATCCTACCTGGTGTCACACATTCTAGATTCAGCATGAATGTATGCTGAATTTATGACTGCATGAAGCTTGGGGGAGACATGCAAACACAAGTCATAACCCTCCTTTTGTTGCCATGGAGATGGGGTCCTCATGGTTCTTGTGCACTGTGAACAAATAATTGGATGCAGTACACAACAGGAAGGAAAAAGCAGCAAAGCTTAATGATGTTTGATCAGGTAGTGAGTGAGTGGGCTTGTGCAAGTGGAAAGTAAAATGGCACATGCACTTGAGGGCACTGGGTTTAAGGATTTAAAAGATCCTCTTGTTGGGTCTTGCAGAGTATGATTGACAGGAGTCCTACGTCAGGTCAGCTGCATCTGTAGCGCATTTCCTTTCCCATAATTCATTCTGTTTTAATTGGATGTATGAAATGCAGTCCATGTGCACAAACTTTCAATGAGCTCCAGGAAAAGAAAGGTTATTGCAGGTCATGCAGGACGACATGATACCCATGAGTCTTGGTTTGTGATTTTGGAATTTCTCAATGTGGGTCCTTCTTTCAGGTAATACAGTGAAAATATGCCTCAAAACTGAGGGATTTAAAAGGAAATTTTCAGATAAACAAAACAAGACTCTAACATTTGTAGAAAACACAAAAGAAAACTCCTTCAAATTTAAAGAAGAAAATTACTGTGGCTTTGGCATAGGCAGAGATTTCTTAGAACACCCATGACTGCTGAAAGGGTCAAGACTGCATCAAAATAGAAAGCTCTGACTCCGTGAAAGACACCATTAAGATATGAGAAACACAGGGCAGGCATTAAAGTAAAATTAAGGTATTCCTAGATAGGTTTTTTAAAGAAAGGTATGAGAATTCACTGGTAGCAAACTTTTTCATACAAGAAATACTAAAGGAATTCCTTTGGGTTGAAATAAAAAGGACCCCCAAATCCACATGGGGAAATCAACTAGGACCAGCAAAGGTGATTGCACAGGTAAATATAGAGACAGGAAAATGTAGCTTTTGTTTGTAACTCTTATTATCTCCATTTGATTAAAAAGAACTATATAAAGCAATAATGGAGAGTCTGTGTTGATGGGCAAACAATGCCCAGAGGTATCACTGTATGACCAGATGAGCAAGAAAAAATGAAACATGCAAACAGTAATCAAAACAGAGCTTGTGTGCTAGTCCATATCAGGAAAAAGACTTTTAAGAGGAAAGTTGTTACTAGAAACAAAGGACATTTGTGCCAACGCAACCTCACTATGGCTTGACTGTGTGATTTCCAAACTAGGGCAAATTCATTTCCACATGTTTTTGGGGAACACAGCTGAACCCACAGGAGCCCATTGTTAAGAAGACACACAGTTATAAACATGTATCCATCCGCCCATCAACCAAGCCCTAAAATAGACAAAACACAAAGTGTCAGAACTGAAGGAGGAAACAGAAGTTCCACCATAAGGTTAGAGACTTCAACACTACATTTTCAGTACTGGACACAACTAGACAAGGGGTTGAATATGTTAAACAGTTCTGTTAGCCAACTAGGCCCAATACCTGTAGAATATGCAGCAGCAGCAGACACCCTTTCCAGTGCACGAGGAGCACTGTTTAAAATGGGAGCGCTGGGTGTGGTGTGGTAGGCCTGTCATTCCAGCACTTGAGAGGCTCAGCGGTAGGATAGCTGAGACTTGGAGGCCAGCCTGGGCCTACATAGCGAGTTCCAGGCCAGCCTGAACGACATAGTGCGCCCCTGCCTCAAAAACAAACAAGCACAAAAGAAAATGGAACATAAAACTCCTTAAAACTAACTTTCTCTCTCTCTCTCTCCCTCCCTTCCTTCCTTCTTTCCTTCCTTTCTTTTTTCTAGTGTTAGGTATGGAACCCAGACCTTTATACTTACTAGACAAGGACTCTACCACTGAATACCTCCACAGCCTTAAAACAAATCTTGAAGCATTTTAAAAGATTGAAGTCACATAGAGGATGTTCTCTGACCAAATAGAATAAAGTGTGATAATATTAACAGAGAAAAATAACCAGGGAATTTTTTTTTAATTTAAAGAGAGAAGAAAAAAAAAAAAGAAAGAACATTAAAAAAACAATGCAGTGAAAGGGTACAAATAATACAGTATTTCTAGAAAAAAATATATACAGTATGAAATCATCAGTTAACAGGCTACACATTATCTTCCCAGAAACAGTTGTCCATATCACTAAATTAAAGCATACAAAGTGAACATTCATACAGTGGAATTCATACAGTTCCGTTCAATGATCCAGCAAAAGCTCAGTTATATGGTTTTCCGTCCTACACTCTCGAACATACCTGCGGTTATATCCCTTAGTCCACCTTACTTTCCTCTCTTTTTTACAGTAACAATTAGACTTTTAGGATTTTATTACTCTCATGGTTCTTATTACTTTTTTGAAGAGAATAAAAACAAATGTGACTAAGCAAAACAGAGTCAGAACAGAAAGGTGGGCATAGCACGTGATGCAAAAATAGAATAGCAGGTGATCAAAAGTGGTTACCATTGTGCCTCTTGCTATTTTCAAATTGAGTTGTCTATATCATCAGGTATAATAGAATTGATCAAAACAATATGAAACAAAACCAATAAAATCTACACTGAGGACCTTACAGGACTTCAAAAAAAAAAAAAAAAGGATGATAGTCAATCCATATTGGGCATCATGGTATATCTTAATGCCTTCAAAGTGATTGCCTATACCCTCAAACTTGATACTATCAAACAAAATAGAATATATAATAATCAGACAGAACAAGATGGGGAAAGCAATACTGGGGTTCAAGTCAGGTTAATAGGACAACAAAAAAGTTACTACAATATGTCCCGTTACTCTTTAATTTAGTTTTCCCTTAATTAAAAAAATGAGAGAAAATAGATTAATTTAAAAATAGGGGGAAGATTGAGATAAAAGAGGATATTGTAATAGAACAATGCAGGGCAGAACCGAGTAATTCAAGCATCATTGTGTTTCACCATCAGATAATTTTACATAATATTAGTCACCATAGTGCCTCTTTCCTTAAATTATTTGAGTGTAACTTCGCGTGCTATAAATATCAAGCGTATCTAGACAGTATGAAGCCTTTCAAGAGAATGCAAGAATTACAGGGTATTTAGAACCTGCTAATAGAAAACAAACAATGGTTTCTATATTATCTCTTTGCCTATAAAGAGTTTTGTTTATACTATAGCAATATAATCAGGGAATTTAAAAATACACAAAACTTTCCAATATACTTCTAAAAATAATGGTCAAAGCAGAAATCACAAAAGAAATTATAAAATATTTGGAAATAAATGAGAATTAAAGCACAGGACACCAAAATATATAGTGTCCTCCTGCTCCTCAGTCCACAGCTGCCCGTCTGCATTGCTTCCTGCACCGGCTGTGGATGTCGATAACTCACCAAGGGTCCTTAAATATGAATACTCTCAAAAACTATCAAGTTACAGGTGCACGGAGGCCCAATTCTATGCAAAAGCTCACGATCTTAAAAGGAGGTACTCAATCTGTCTCTATCTGATTGGTGATATGAGATCATTAATACAATTTATGAACCCATGAAGAAGAAAGTGAATGGAAACCAGATGAGGAAGGTGAAATTTCAGAGGAGCCGAAGGAAAAGGCCAAGAATGAAGATGAAAAGGATGATACTCACAGAATTCCTGAATTTTGATGGACTGTTTTTAAGACTGTGACTTCTCCAGGACATGGCTCAGGTGTGCGACGACCTGGTCTGAACAGCTGAAAGACATTAAAGAGAAGTCCTCAGATGCTGGCCACCCTATGAGTTTTATCCTAGAAGTGCACTTTGAACCCAAAGAATGTTTCATAAAGGAAGTATAGGATGAGATCTAAGCCAGATGATTCTGATCCCTTTTTCAGTTGATGGACCAAAATTATGGCCTGTACAGAGTGCCAAACATTGGAAAGAGGGGAAAAACCTCACTTTGAAAACCATTAAAAAGGAGCAGAAGCATAAGGGATGTGGAACGGCTCATGCTGTGACCAAATCCATTTCCAATGAGTCCTTCTTCAATTGTTTTCCCCCCTGAAGTTCCTGAGAGTTCCTAAGATCAGCTTTGCAATGTACCAGGGAAGCCCCTGGAGATGACGGCACTGGTTACAATGAGAAAGATGAAGTGAACGAGGTAAGGTTTACCAAATAAGCATTTAACAAGAAGCAGATTCAGCGACTTCTGTATTCCTTTTCTATAATTGTTCTGTAATATGGGATAAATTTTGGAAAATACGATTTTAGAATTCTACAGTCAAACAAGGTATTTTTAAGGATTTGATAAACACATTACGAAAAGAAAAGTTTGAGACCTTTACAGGAGACTTAGTGACTTAGTGAAAGCCTGTCGCAAAATAAAAATGAAAAAGGACCAGGAATGTAGCTCAATGTAAAGACCTTGGGTTTCTCCCCAGCATCACAAAAAGCAAGAAAAGAAAGGAGAGAGAGAGAGAGAGAGAGAGAGAGAGAGAGAGAGAGAGAGAGAAAGGGAAGGAGAGAGCACAGCCCTGGACAGCTAATAATACAGCTCCACAAGATCAGAAGCTTTTCACACTATTATGAAGTGTTTAGCAATATGTTCATGCCAACTCTGTTTCCTGTGCCCACCACACAAAATTGGTATTGAAACCCCCATGATGCAGCTGTTACCCATGCCTTTATAGCTTGTGAAATAAAATGCAGTAATTATTAATAATGATATTTGAACTTACCTACATGTGGGTGCCTATGAAGACAGTTCACTGTAAACAGACTCGTAAGTTCTCTTCTTAACTATTAAACTGCAGTAGCACTATTTCATTGAATAATTCAACAAGTTAAAATAAGATTTTTAGCAGCTGTGGTATAGGAAGCACAAAAGTGAGTCACACACTTTTTTGCTCATGATATTGTTATAATGTCATGTACATCACTTATATGAGAACAGTTATGATGAAAATATAAAAACAAAATAAGTTTTGTTGCTTATATACTTTAATTATATCACAAATCTTATGTGCAGCCCACGGCAATCCCTTTTCATTCAGCAAAGCCCAGGCAAGCCAAACTATTGCAGACCCCTGATCTCCAGGATAAGTGTGATCCTTAGTAGTATTTCAATCACAGAAATAGAAAAAGCAATCCCAAAATTCACATGGAAGCACAACAGACCCTGAGTAACCAAAGCGAGCATGAGCAAAGACAGCAGAGTGGAAAGTGCCACACTGACTGATTTCAAGGTATAGCTTGAAACTGTAGTATTGAAAAGAGCATGGCACAGGCACAGAAACGACCCATGGATCAACGGAGCACAGCAGAGAGCTCAGGCCTCAGCCCACACACCGACAGGTAATTGATTCTGACTAAAGTACCCAGAATGTGTGATGGGGAAAGGACAATCTTATCAATACACAGGGTTAATAAACCACATGGATATCAATATGTGAAGAATAAAATTATATTCATCTCACCCACATGCCAAAACCAAAATGAACTGGAGACTAAGGTGGGAGCTGGGCATGGTGGTGCACACCTGGTATCCCAGACACTTCTGTCTCTGCAGGCTTGAGGCCAGCCCAGATGATTTGGTGAGCATGGGTCTCAATCTAAAAAGCTTCCTCATAGCCAAGAAAAACAAAGGGAGGAAACAACCTACCAAATGGGAGGAAATAGTTGCCAATCATACATCTTTCTCCAGAGGTGACATAAAAGGTAGCCAGCAGATATGTGGCTAATCATCAAAGAAATGCAAGCTAAAACCACACCATGATATCACCTCACACCTGCAGAATGACTGTCATCCAAAAAGGAAAGATGGCAAGCTTTAGTGAGGATGTAGGGAAAAGGGAGCCCTTGAACACTGCCTGTGGAGATGGAAATCACCGTGGACCACAGCATGGTGATTCCTCAAAGAACGGGAAATAGACTTAAAAGATTCAGTCATCCCAGGGCTCATGCTTATGCAAAGGAAAACTATCCAGAGGTGGGGGAGATGTCCGCTCACCTCCATGTTCACAGCAGCCAAGGAATAGAATCACCCCAAGTCCACCAAATGAATGAATAAAATATACAGAGAAAATAGATTAACATATATGTGTGTGTATATGTGTAGAATATTACTCAGTCTTTATTATTTATTTGTGTATTTGACTTTTTGAGGCAGTCTCTTTCTGTAGCCCTAAATTCATTAATGTAGCCCTCACTCACTCTTTAAAAAGAAGGAAATCTTGTCACTTGTGACTATAGAAATAAATCTAGAGGACATTACATTATATGAAATAAGTCAGGCACAAAAAGGGAAAATATCAATCAGTCATGGAGATACACATTTGTAATTCCAGCCCCATGGGTGGCTGAGCCAGAAAGATCACAGGTTTAAGCCAGCCTGAGCAACTTAGTGACACAGAGAGAACTTGTCTCAAAATAAATAATAAAAAGGACTGTGTTCCATCCCCCATACTAGAAAAAAAAAAAAAGACAAATGTGAGACCCAGTCTCACTTATATGCATGGGGTCCACTACATGTAGAATTGAACATTTTAGGGTAGAAGATATAATGGTGATTATCAGAGGCTAGGAGGTGGGGTCGAAGATTGGGAAGATGTTCATCGAAGGGTTAAAAAGAAAAGAAAACCAGAGACCAACATCACTGGTGAATATTAATGTGACATCTTTCACAGGACAGTAATAAATATGATCCAGTAACAGGAAAAGTGTTAGATACTGTGACCAAGTGAGACTCATCCCCAGAATGCAAGGTTAGTTTAACCCCTAAAAAATCAATTAACATAATATATTAATAGACAAAAACCCAAAACCATAGTAATCTCAATAAATACAGAAAAGGCAGTTGACAAAATAAAAATCCTTACATGATTAAAAATAAAACAATGCATAGGAATAGAAATGAACACCTTCAATCTGGTTGGGGTTAAGTTGAAAACACACACACACACACATACACACACACACACACACATGCACACAGCTAACAGCACACTTGGTGGCCACAAAGCCTTCTTCTCAAGTTCATGAACAATTTCAAGGGTGGCTCTGACCACTTTTATTCAACACTGTGTTGCAGGTTCTAGCCAGAAAACCTGGGTGAGAAAAAGAAATAAATGCATCCAGCTTGGAAAGAAACAAAACTGTCTGTGTAAAAGAAGACATGATCTTGTACATGATAATCCTAAATAATCCACACACAAAAAAAGCAAGGAAGAAGGGAAGGAAGTGGGAAAGGAAGGAAGGAAGACAGGAAAGAAAGTATTAGAGGTTATAAATGTAAGTTTAGGAAGCCTGTAGATACAAAATTAATACACGAAACAAGCTATTTCTATATATTAGCAATGAAGATCTAGAAATGAACTTACTATAACTCTACTTATATTGAAAAGATGAACATATTTAATAAGAAATATAATTAAGGGGCTGGGGACTTAGCTCAGCAGCATAAGGGCCTGCCCAGCAGGCTCCAGATCATGAGTTCAATCCTGTACAAAAAAGGAAATACAATTAAATAAATGAATGACTTGCACCCTGAGAGTTGCAAAGCATCTTCAAAAGCAATCAAAAAAGACTTAAATAAGTAGAAAGACATCTGTGTTCACACACTGGAAAACTGGATTTTGTTGAGAGAAATGCTACCCACATTTATTCACAGAGTCTGTGCATTTCCTGTCAAATTATTGCTGCTTCTATTTTTTTTTACAAAAATTGACAAGCTGATTCTAAAATTCATATGGAAATGAGAGACTCAGAACAGCCAAACACCATCTTGAAAATGAAGAGCAAAGTTGGAGAACTTACACTTCCTGATTGAAAACAACTTCACAGCTACAGTAGTCAGGACTTGAGGTGCTGGCAAAGCACAGAGTGTGCAAACCAATAAAGTGGAATGGAGACCCCAAAAAGAAGCCTCCACAGTTACGATCACTTCCTCTCAATGAAGGGCCCACACATTCATCTGGAAAAGAGGTCTTTTCAACCAAAAGTATTGGGAAGACTAGATACCCACCTGCAAAATAATGATCCTACCTCACATCATATACCAAAATTAGGTCACAAAGGGTCACAGATCTAAACAAAAGAGCCCAAACTCTAGAATTCAGAAAATATCAGTATTAATCTTCACAATCTTGGATTCTAATTTGATGTCTATACCAAAGATTTCTTAGCTATAGGCCACAAAACACAAGTAACAAAAGGAAAAATAAATAAACTGGACTTTATCAAAATTAAAAACTTTTGAGCTTCAAAGGAGACCACCAAGGAAGTGGAAAGATGAACCACAAAATAAATATGGGATAAAATGGGGCAGAATATTTGCAAATTATATATATTAGAGGAGTGCAGTATCCAAAATACAATAACAAAAAGACATTATCCCATTTAAAAATAGACAAAGGATTTGAATAGGCATTTTTCCAAAGAAGACATATAAATGACCAATAAACCCATGAAAAGCTGCTTAACATTATTAGTCAAAGAGACCTTATCTCAAAAGAAAAAAAATGAAAATTGGAAAAGGAATGGGCATGTAGCTCAGAGGTACAACACTTATACCTAATACAACTGAGGCCCTGGCTTCAATGCCAATCCCACAAAAATCTTCTATACAACGGTTCACAGCAACATTATTCATGAAATAATGAAAGCTACAATGTTCACAGCAACATTATTCATGAAATAATGAAAGCTAAAATGTTCACCAATCAATGAATGGCTAAATAAGCTGGAGTCTCTCTGTATACAGGTGATTCTTCAGCCCTAAAAAAGAAAGAGGCACTGATGCGCACTTTGACCTTGAAAACAAGACACTAGAAAAGAAGCCAGAAGCTGAGCCCCATGGTTCAGTAATTCATGGGTACAGGATGTTCAGAAAAGATAAATCAGCGGGTTCATAAAACAGATTAAGCCATGGGGAGGAGGGCTGGGATACTGGTGATGTGGTGGAAGTGTTCTGGAATGGTCACACGGCCTCAGAAACATACTGAGAAAACATTGAACTGCGTGCTTTGAGAGGATGAGTTTGAAACAGTGCTATGACAATAAAAATAAGGCATAGCTCTATAAAATAATGAAAAGAGTCACCATACTCAGCATTTCTACCAGGAAGCTTCCAGCTGCCGAGGACACAAAACTGATCTCGCTGGTCAGGAAGCGTGTTGGATGGTGGCATTTGGGCAGGTGAACCTGGCCAGACCTTTCCAGTCTTTCTGTACCTATTGTTGTTCTCAGGCCAGCAGCGAGACATTGCAGATGATTCCGCACCACATCTGGGCAAAGTGGTGTCTTTGGGAAGAACTTCTTTTCTTAAGAAAGAAGAAAATGTTCCCAAAGCCACCAGACAGCCTTCATCCCACGACCAGAGCTGGCTCCTGTGCCCTACCCTCAGCCAAGCCCTACAGCAGGAACTGGATTCTTCAGACAGCCGAGGCCCATCCTGGATCTCAGGGTACTGTTGACTTTCCTTGCAGCTGGGTGTGGAAGAGCTGGATGCCAAGGAAGGGAAGAACCAGTAAGCAGTGGCAAAGGGAGCCGAGCAGAGGCCAGGGGTTTAGTGAAGCTCTGCACAGAAGACGGTTGGCCTACTATTAATGAAACCCATCAATGTGCAGAAAAGATGCATGGTCAGTGTGGACTCCAGTCACCATCTATGCAGAACGGCTGACCAAGGAAGCTCCCTGATTTCTGCCTTCACAGCAGGGATTCCTGGGACGGTTCCGTCTCCCAGGAACTGGGTGTCTCCAGTCAGACATCAGCTAAGGAGCCAGAGACTCCCACCTGGAGACAGCAAGCCTGTGTCTTGAGCATGTGAGTCAGTGTCCCATAGGGTCTTCAGAGTGTGAAACTCCTGGTCACAGGTGGAAAGACAGTTTACAAAAAGAAAAGTAAACCCTAAAGCCATTTCTAAATGAGTAAGAGACAGGAACAGATGCTTCATAGAATAATATAACCCCATGGCCCATGACACCTGAAAAAGTGCTCCACCTCAAAGGTCATCACTTCCAAAAATGCAAAGCTCCAGACTGTAAGCATCTTCGAGGATGCAAAACAGTGACCAGTTGGATCTGGGGGTATGCAAAACCCGTTTCCAAAGTGAAAGAGTTTTGGCCCAGACAGGACACTGTAGCTAGTAAAGCCTCAGGGAACCAAGGAGCTCCATCTCCTCCACCCTAGGAACTTATCTATGGCGCCAAAAGAATACCAATGGGCCACCTGTGCACCACTAATGCCCTTCAGGCACCACCCCCAACCTAAGCTACCTGTACGCCCCCACTCCACTTATTCCACAGAGAGATCTCCGACCCTGGGGGGAGATATCGCGCCCCAGGGGCTCGAGAGGTTTCTCCCCGCATTCTCAAAATAAAGATCATTTATATTTCATACTTATCTTTTCAGCAGCCGCCGGTCCCCCACAATTCTATCACAAAGCAGATGCACAGGGCTTTTGCTGTTTTGTTGTTTTGTTTTGTGGCACTGGGAATTGAACTCTACCCCTTTGCACTGAACGATGTCCTCAGCCCTTTCTTGTTTTTTGAGTCAGGGACTCATTAAATCACTAAATTGCCTGAGGCTCCAGTTTGTGTTCTTCCTGCTTCAGTCTACCAGCCTGCTGGGATTGCAGGGTGGAGTCCCCAGGCCTGGCCCTAAAATTGTCAATTTCTTAGGAACTAAAACCACACCCACCCTTGACCCAGCTTTGCACTCATTTGTAAGAAAGGAAGAGATCTGGCTAAAGTTCACTCAGCCTTCCTCACAGCCAGAGTGGAAAGGAGCTGGCAGCCGGGTACACGCAAGGGAGTGGCTAGGGTGCCCAGCACAGTGGGTGCTCCTCAGGCGAGGAGCGGGCGCTGTCCCGGGCTATTTGGGTGCCAAGAGCCAGGTGAAGGCAGAAGCTGTGGACGCCGTGTAACTGGCGGCCTCTGGCAGGCTTAGCTGATGTTGGTGATAGCACGGGGACAGTGACCACCCGCCCGAGGTGAAGACGCCTGAAACACCTCCAGGCGCTGGGGAGCCCGGAGAGGTGGCAGGCCTGGGTCTGGGCTTTTTTCTCTGCTCCCTCCTTTTGGGAATATCTGGGGCCCCAGGATGGGGGATGGGGAAAAGCAGAGGAGAGCCCGCTGCGCCTCCCACGCCGCCCACGAAATCGCATTTCCAGCTCCGCTGCGCAGTGTAGATGCTGACTCACGGCGGGAGCAGAGGCCCAGACAAAAGGAGGCTGCAGCCCCAACCCTGCTGAGGTCGTCTAGGAGTAGGTGGACGAAGGACGAGGAGCACGCAGCGGGCACAGAGCCTGGGGAGTTTTGTCGGGGGCCAGGCTGGGCTTCTGAGGGATGCGCAGGTGGGCGGGGCGCAGGGGCGGGGCCGGGAGGCCTGCGGAGGATTGCCCGGCACAGTTGCTTGGTCTCTGACTGGGGAACGGAGGATGGGGACAGTGTCACATGCCCGCTCTGGGGGCTCCTGATGTCTCCCACGCACAGCTCCTCAGAGAGATGGAAGGGGAGAGCTGCAGGAGGAGGAGCACCTAGAGCCCTCAGGCCACGGAGGAACCCTGGGGGTCAGAGATTGACCACTGCTACACCTCTGCCAAGGGCTGCATGCTGCTCTGGGCGGCTCTGGTAAGGCCATTGATGCTGTCTCCAAGACTTACAGCTCCCTGATCCCTGACCTCTGGAGAGAGACTTTGTTCAGCAATTCACTGACCAGATTGTGCGTACTCACAGCAAGTCTGTCCAGAGGCCTCAACTCCAGCAGTAGCTACTACATAAGGGTTTTTACACAAGATGTATAAAATGAATGAAATCTGTAACAAAGAAAAAAAATCCTGAAGTTGGCCTCCTTTAGGAACACGGCAGTGACCCATACCTGTAATCTCAGAACTGAGGCAGGCTGACACAGGAGGATTATAAATTCAATCCTAATTTGGGCAATTTAGAGACTTAGGAAGATCCTGCCTCAAAGTGAAAACTAAAAAGGGCTGTGGAGACACAGCTCAGTGGTAGAGCAACCCTCGGTTTGAGCCCCAGTGTGGAGAGAAAAAAGAAAAAGTACTCAATAGCCAGAACCTGGCAGAACAGTAGGCTTGTGAGTCCCTTCAGTTCCCAGATTCCAAGGAAGCTCAAAGTGACCGGCAAGGTGACTGGGGTAGTGA